AAACTCACATTCACTTTAAGTTGCAGCGGTGGCGGCGGCTTCTAGCTTCGCCGAAGCGAAGGCGTCCTGGATCGCGGAGAAACCTCGGGGCTCCGGAGGAGTTCTCACCTACATCGTCCACATGGGACGACTCGGGAACTCAACTCCTACCCCGGGCAGCTCACCTATCCCCTTATGCCCAGGGGAAGGGTATCAAGCCATTTGACAGCTGGTGCTGGCTGTCAAAACGGCTTTTACGCTAAAACAGGCGGGAGGCAGCAAACAGCTGCGTCCGACGAGGTCGCCTGCCACCGGAAGTCCCCGCTATCATTAGCATATTGATGATAGCAAACCACATGCCAGCAAATAATCTCTCCCAGTGGCATCATATAGATATTAAATAAGAGGAGAGGCAAACTTAAGCTCTGAGGCACCCCAGATAACAGGGGCCTAGGGCTGGTCCTCTCCTCCCCCACCAACACTGACTGCCATTGCTAGAACCCATATATTATTAAGGAGAACTCTTTTCTATTTCTTTTACTTCAGTACTCTGGGTTCTGTCATACTCCTGAAGGGGAGGGGGGAAGACATTGCAGGCTGTCTCTTTGTTTCTTGCTATTGCTACAATGTATCCATTTTACTGTTCTGCATTTTACTCTTTGAACTGTCTCTCCCTTGATGTTACCTTGGGGTGAGAAAGGAATGTGCCTCCGGCCACCTGGTTTATCTCTCATTTCGGAAGGGAAGGTATGAAGACCCAACAACAACACCGGCGTTATCAGCTCTTTCCCACAACAGACTTAACATCTGAGGATTGGCCCATTCAAACTGACTGGATGAACTATTGGGGTGGAGTTTGCTTGGGACTCTTTTAACCTATTGATCTGAGTGGGAAACCCTCAGAACCTGCCTATTATGCCTATTATCAGTTCCGTTTGAAAGAAACTGCTTCCACGAGTTCTGCTTTCTTGGGATGAGGTTTTGAAGTGGGCTCTAACATTCATGGAGAAAGAAGAACCATGGCAGAACAGTGTCCTCACATGCCTAATCCCCAAGGCTGGTCCAGCAAAATGGCTGATGATAGCAAAAGCAGCTGAGAGATCCAGAAAAGCAAGGATGAACACACCACCCACATCTCCAGCTCTTCAAAGATCATCCACAAGTGTGATCAATGCTGTCTCATACTGTAACCCAGCCTGAATCCTGACTGAAAGGGGAGCTCATTGTGGTTATTAGGGCTTATGGGTGGGGGAAAATACCTTAGGGCTAGCAGTAAACTAGAAGACATGACACTTTTTACAACCATACATGAAAAATGATTAAAATTAACATTGACATCAAACCATTATTTCTATTGTTTGATTGCAATAAATGGTTATACTCATAATTTCTTAGGTTTATTGATATATTCTAATTAAACATTAAAAACATTGTATTACCCCACTCCCTGCACAGTATTCATTTTACCTCTCCAGTGTTTTGAAGGACTGGATAACATCCTTTGCGTGGCACCATAAAAAATATACCTGAAAACAAATGTGAATAAATTATAATGGGTCCCATAGAAAAAGTAGCACTCAATTAATCATGCATAAAAACAAAAGTATCTAGAAAAATGTGCAAGTCATTTCCTTCACTTTTTCAATTCAGAGACAGATATTCTGAGGGGCCCTCCCTATCCAACAGGAACCAAGTTTCCCTGAAAAGGGCTGTTGGATAGCTATCAGCAGATACAATAATAGTGGACATATGTTGATGTTTCACAATCCTTACCATCTAATATCTGATCAGACTCACTTTGAGTCTTCCTACAATGGTGCTCCAGTGTCCTTTCTACTCCTGACTCATTTCCCATGTTCCCATTAGTTAATCATTCATATTTTAAGCATGAGGGTAATTTTTTTCACTACCATGCATAGGGAAATAGATGTTCAATTAGTCGTGGTTTTAATAAAAATAATTGGAAAAATCATGCAACAACCTTTTTAAATGTATACCAAATTTGACTGTGCCCCTATCTTCTAATGCAGTGTAAGAAATTAATTCAGTTTTTAGTTATAAGGTTTGTTATTTCAAAACATTGGAAAGATAAAGTAGGCTTTAATTGGATCAATAATAATTAAGTGTGTTGAAAAACTGCTTTGTTTGAACACTGAGTTTTGAGAAGGAGACCCCTGCCTTATGAACAACCTCCACACCCCTATCCCTCCAAGATTTGCATGGCATGACTCTCTGGATGGCAAGCAGAATTGGGCCTTTCTCAGGTATGGGAATGTGAAGATAGTCTTTAACTGGACATGACATATTTTGATAAAGTACTTTTTTTACACTAACTGCAATTTGTTTTTCTTAAATGAGCCCTGTATTATATTTTTATTGTTTTTCACCCAGAATTCCAATGGCAGATGGCAACTACAGTAGTGGCCAAAATTGTGGAAACCTTTTGGGAAAAGTGTATTTTTGAGGTTTGATGGCCAATAACACCACTTTTTTTGGAGTAGTACCATAAAATTATATATCAATGGAAAGATAATTTAATCAGGAATGTAATGCAACAAAGTTTGTTCAATTATCTGTACTGTATTCTATGAAACGTTATAGCCAAATAACCAGAAAAAGGAAGCACAACTTGCTTAGGTTGATATCAGGTAGCTTTCCTTCATCTGATTGTAGTCAATGAGCATGAGTGTTTAGAGAGCCAACCAGGTGTCATCTTGTTTTGGCAATGAGCCAATCAGATCACAATAGGATTCAGTTATTGATGTCATGTATTGAAGCTGAGAGGAGGACATTTGTCAGTGTGTTATGTGATCACTATCAAGTTGGTTGGGTTTTTTTGTGTTCTTTCATTTAGTGAGCTTGTAAAACATAATAAAATTAAAGTAATGGTGCAAAGAGTTGACTGGTTGCCCAGAAAGTGATGTAAAATAGTATTATTAAGTGAACAAGGCTACAGTTATGAAGAAATTAGAAGAAAAATTGGTGGAAACTTAACCAAAGGTGGCATTTCTACTGTACACTTTTCCCAAAAGGTTTCCACAATTTTGGCCACTACTGTATATAAATATGCTAAATGAATACCTAATTGTCTCTTTTAATAGACTACCTTTCCATATAATACTGAGGGAAGTCAGCTCCCCAGAGAAGGAAATATTAAAAAGGCAGAAAAATATATTTCCTTCAAGGATCTTAAAGAGACAGAAAAGCATGCCCAGTTTTCCTTGATAGCCCCAAATCTCTCTGTCCCAAGCAGGAGCCAGCCCTATACAAATGCAGATGTAACCATCAGAAAGTTGGAGCCAGAAAACTCAAGAAGACAAAGAGACCAAAAATCTGCGTACCCCACCCAAACTCTAAGAGTCATTAGCCCAGCCCCAGGGAAGCAGGATATGACTTTTGGGACATAATAGGATTAAACCACAGATACCAAGGCCTAGAAAAGCACACTCAGACTCAGTTCAAAGTTCATGCCACAGGAACAGGAAACTATTCCAATCAAAAGGCTTTCAGAGGGTATAAAAACCTACTCCACATGTGCTCATTCCTTGATTTCTCTCCTCCTTCCTGCCAGAACCATCTTTCAGTCTGGCTCTTCAATAAACTGTAACCTTCTTCCCAAAGCAGTCGCCAAGTTGTTTAATTATCCCCGGCTTGGATGAACCAGGATGAAGACTTTACTTCCAACAAATTGGCACCCCAGATGGGACTCCAAGCTAACGTCTCCAATGGAGTGAGACTGGTAAACCCCATCTTGCCGGCAGCAGACCCCTTGTGTCTGTAGATGGGTTTCCCAGGCCTTGCCCATGTGGAGCCAAGGTAGTAAAGGGAGTTTTGGGTTTGAGCTCAAGGGCTGCTTTGGAAAGAAGGTGAAGGTGAGTACCTCTAAATTTTAAGTTTAAAGCCCAGGGGAACAAAGGAAATGTGTGTATGTCTGTATGTGTGAGTGAGTGAGAAGACCCTTTTTTCCCAATCACAGTTGGATTTTGCTCCTTCTGGTCTTTCCTAGCCACAGAAAAAATCTGTTTAATTGGCAGAACCTGGAAAGCATGGGGGTTTGGCCAGAGTGTAGGACCTTTTGTTAGGGAAAAGGGAGAGGCTGTGTGAAAATGGAATGGAATGAATGAATGAGAGAATTGGATTTGGGCAACTAGCTGGTAAGGCCCTGTAAGCAAAGCCCATCTGTAGGAGGGGCCGGTACTAAAGTGCACAAAGCATAGGTCCTCCCAGACTTCTCTTAAGTCTGAAAACTTCAGGCGGGGTGTAAACGGAGGCCGGGTATCTGTGCAGCAGATCCTCCTCAATTTATTTTTGAGGTCCGCAAAGTGACGGCAGAGAGTTCCCTAAACTGGAAGGCCCTTACTCCGTGTAGGGAAGCGGAGTCTTCCTGGGCAATTTTTTAGTGCCCAAAAACTGTAGGCGGGGCGGCAGGGTTGTTGTCACTAAGAGCGGCTGGGAAGTGCTGCTAGGAAGAAACCCGACTGAGCCAGATTGGACCCCACATCGGAAGGGGAACATGGGTAGCTGCAATTTGAGGGTTGGAATTAGGACACTTATTGGAGATTTGCTCGAGGTGTGGGACGAGAGGCGAGTGCCTGTCCTGGATGGTATGAAAAAGAAAAAGCGAGCAAGACAAATTTGTGAAGAATGGGCTTTGCTAGGGCTTTGCTGGGAAACCAATTTGGCTAAATAAAGGTACTTAAAGGGAAAATAAGAAATAGTGATTCTCTTTCTTTCTCTCTCTCTCTCTCTCTCTCTCTATGTAACCACGTGGTATGTTTAAAATGTGCGCCTTCCCTAACTTGAGTTATCTGAAATTTATGGTGGGAATGACTAGGATGTGTAAAACTAAGACTTCTTTTTCCTTTTCTGTTCTCTTGTCTTTGTGTATATATGTGTGTCAAAGTCTTTGTGTGTGAGGTAAATGTGACTATTAACTGTTTCAAATCCAAAGAGAAAAGAATTTTAAATTCTGCTAGAAATTCTGCTTAAAATAAGCCATAAAAAGGAAATACCTCACTCTGTTTGTCTGGCCAACAAACAGAGTGAAGAAAAATGTGTTTGTTTGTTTGTTTGTTTTTTCTTTTCCTCTTTCTCTCTGTGTACTCTTAGGAACAGCCCAAAGTTAGCATGAGGGAATGTTTTAAGTTCATCTGCTAGAAAGGTTTCACTCTTGCATTTAATAATATATAATAAAGTTGGAAGGGACCTTGGAGGTCATCTAGTCCAACCCCCTACTCAGGCAGGAAACCCTATACGAACTTTATCAAATGCCTTACTGAAGTTCAAGAAAATTATATCCACAGCATTCCTCTGATACACTAATTTTGTCACTTGGTCAAAGAATGCAGTAAGATGTGTCTAGCATGATCTGTTTTTGACAAACCCATGTTGGCTTTTAGTAATGACTTTGTTTGCCTCTAGGTGTTCGCTGATTCTTGTTTGATTATCTTTTCCAGAATCGTCCCAGGTATTGAGGTCAGGCTGATGGGTCTGTAGTTTCCTGGATCTATTTTTTTTCTTTTTTTTGAAGAGGGGAACTACATCAGCTCTTTTGCAGTCCTCTGGTAGTTTCCCAGTGCTCCAGGATCTTTGAAAAATATAGTTCAGTGGTTCTGAGATCACATCTGCCAGTTTCTTGAGAACCTTGGGGTATAATCCATCTGGTCCTGGTGATTTGAACTCATCTAGGCTGAATAGGTGCTCACTTACCATTTTCTTGTCTATCTTAACTTGTGTTTCTAATATATTTTTTATGGTACTGTTTTTGATAAGTTGGACTGTTTTTTTCCCTTTGTGTAAATGCAAAAAAAAATGAATTAAATAGTTCTGCTTTCTTCCTGTTGCTTGTCACCTTCTTGCCATTTCCCCCCAATCATTTCCTTAACTTTTTTCCTTGTTTTTTTTTACACATTGAAAGAAGCTTTTTTATTATTTTTGACTTTGGTCACAAGCCTTAGTTCATTTTGAGCCTTAGCTTTCCTCATCTCATCTTTGCAGGCTCGGACTATTTGCTAATATTCTGCTTTAGTTATGTGCCCCTCTTTCCACTTTTTATACTTGTCCCTCTTATCTTTCAATTTATCAGAGAGTTCTTTATGCAGCCATGCTGGTTTCTTTTGAGAGCTATTATTTTTCTTCTTTGTTGGTATTGTGCTAGACTGGGTTATTTTTTTAAAAACAATTCCCAAGCTTCTTGTTTTTCCCTTGAGGATTCTCATCCATGGAATCCTTCCCAAGCCCTCTCTAAGTTTATTGAAATTAGCTCTCTTAAAGTCCAAGACTCTAGTTTGACTGTGTTCTATTGTCATGTGCTTCCTACATACCTTAGTTAGCTGACTAGCAAAAAGCTCATCTATTTCCCCTTTTATATTGACTCAAATGCATTCAAGACAGTTTTCATCATTGTTGTGCCCTATTTCTGTTGATATGTACTTATTTCATATATAGAGAGAAACTCCACCTCCTCTTTTATTTGGTCTGTTTCTTTTAAACAATTGAAATCCCTCTAGCTGAGTGTTCCATTTGT